GTCTAGATAGACACTGACTTGTGCAACCGGTATGAAGTTTAAGTATCTTTAAATAGACACTGAGACAATACACAAACCATCACAAAGTAAATTAAAATTCATACCTGTTGAACAGGTAGTTGTGCATCTGGACTCAATAAATAAATAAACTTTCTGGTTCTCAATATTAATTATATTCTACTTATTCCACTTCACTTGTGTTGTTTTTAGACATCTGTCCTATAGTTCGAGACTACTAAAGGCTGTCAGGTACAGTATGAAGCTTATTCTTCTTCATTTTACCGAAGCTTTAATTAGCAAACAAAGAGAACATGGCACCTGATTATTTCAATATTGAGTTCAAAGCGAAGTTATTTACACTAATTCCTTTCGTTGGTAACAGGATCTGTTTCTTTTTTCTCTTATATGATTACCTATTGTAAATATTTCAAGTTTATTGTTTTATTTCAATTAACTGGGCTTCATTCATGATATATGTTATTCCTAATCAATACTAATCATTATTCCTTAACTTGTTTGCTTAACTTTGCATTTCGATATATTTCACAGCTAATTGACTCATTATAGAATTGGGATAGTTTTTCAAATATAATTAATTTCATTTTTCAAAGGATTAACACATGTCATCCATATATCTGATAATGAGGAATTTGATGATTATCTTTGGTTGGTATTTTTTCTAGTTCTTGTTTTCATTTACGCTAATTATATCACTATATAAGTAGCTGGTTTCTGGTTACTTTAGAATAGATCATCATTTTTTATTAATTGCCTAAGAGAACATGATTCATATGATCATTCACTTTAGTTCCTATGTACTTGATCAGGTGTTGTTCAGCTGATCTCTGCTTAAACTTATGATGAACCTTTTAAATTTTGAATGTTTCATTTGTACACTGAATTTTTACAGTTTGCGTAATCTGTACTCATGTGACTCAAGCAAATAAACGTTATCAATTAACGTTACTCTTACATTTGATTGACAAAACTGAAGAGCTTTATTTTTAGTGATCATGTGAATTTTCTACAATCTATAATAGAAACAGTTTAATTTGATGTATTTTGATGACGAAATTAACATTTTCGTGCATTACGTCGGTTCATATGTTCAATTTGTACAATATACCTATGTTTATCTCTCCTTATTGTTTAGATATTTAAAGATAAGATCGTGCAGTTTATGTATAATTACTTGTTATTAATGATAGATATGTTATTGGATCATTCGAGAATATGAGCATTAACACTTGGGTTATTCGAATAAGGATCATTGACATTTTTGTATCAGTCATTGTTGTGAATAAGAAGTAATGAAATTTTTTCACATTTACATCTCATACACCAGTAAAATCTTCTTAATGATTAGGTTATAGTAGACTGAGTCTTACTTAATTAATTGGATGATCCAAACATTTTTTGGGGTACTTTATTAAGTTTAAATGTTTTAGCTACTCCATTTATAGGTTAAAGTGAACGAACCAAGACCTTGAAGGCAAGAAAATGTTTACTAATCAATGATTAATTAGCTTATAAACATTTAGCATATTTGAGCATAAATTATGTATAAAACCCATATGATATTTAGTGTTTACACCTTAGAGACATTAATCGCTCACACTAGAAAATTTTGATTACTTTACAAAACAGATTTGTAGCAATACTTCGTCATTTGTAATACCAACAATTAGTTATTCAAACCATCTCGAAAATGAACTTTTATTTAAAAAATTAATGGTAACTTTTCTTGTAATAAGATCTTATGATTAACGATTGACTTCAATACATTTAACTGAATTGTTTAGCATTTGAAGATATAGCTCTCAATTCCAGTGATCTATTTGCTAATACGAAACTGATTAAATTTAGCTCCGTTGTTAAAATTTATATATTTCTGTTTACACGTTTCAGATGTTGGTGGTATGAATTGGGCCCTTTAGTCAAGCCCAGTATGTATCGAAGAGAGCAGTAACTATGACTTAAGATACTGGCATGTCCAAACGGGCATCCTAAAAACGGACAATTTGAATAAATCTTTTTCAGTTTCACTTATAAGTATATCTAAGATAAATAACTGGAGCCCCTCCGGGGGCTACTGCCGGTCCCAAGCCCGGATAAAGAAGGAGGGTTGGGCATGGGGTTAGCGTCCCCATCCCGTAGAAAACTAACTCGCTAAAAAAACGCTAACCAGAAATATATACATACCAGCTAAACTAAAATTTCTTCACCTTTTCACACCAGATGATTCATAAACACGACAACAAATCCCACTTTTAGCAATTTTACCATGATTACATTATCTGTTTAGCTAATAGTCAACCTATGAACCATCTATTTATATTTGATAACTTTAATGTTTGATCATATTCCTTGGAAAAACTTGATCCAAACTGTTGAGCAAAACATTGGATTTATTTTAAATTAAGCTGATGTGGTTTTGCAAACGTGATTTTCCTTCTTAATATCTCACATCAAATCGGGCCCCAACTACTGTGACACTTTTTTTAAATTGAAATTTCGGCTCTCATACAATACACCGTATAATAAAGAGAAATAAATAGTGGACTGTCCATTTACTGAATACACAGTGATATAAAGTTAAGGTTAATTGTTGTTACATGATCGAAAATTTTCCTGCAAAGCAATACTAAGAATTTCATACTCTCACCTTTCGATTTAATGAGTACCTTCATTCGAACATCAATCATCACACTGTCGATCCGCATGTTTACTTATTATACTTGGTTATGTAATCCATTTCGCTGTAACCGTTGTCTCATAAAATATTATTGATTGATCAATGTTAGGCGGGCAGTGTCATGTTTGTCAAGTTTTTCACAGGGCTAATTGAGTTCGATCGATCACTTAGCAATGTGGCCACTAGTCTTAGTGACTTTACATCTTGCGCGCTGCGTTTGAATGCAAGGTAAGGGTTAGAGTGAGTCGATAATAAACTCTAGATACATAAACCGCTTTGGTTGGTCCAGTATTGTTATATATGCATATAAATATTAATGTATATTAAAGCCTGCTACCTGCAGACAATATTGTTCGTTTAAACAGCAATATGAATAATCTTGGGAAGAAAAACAATAAAAATTTGACCAAAATAACATGAATTCATTTTGTTTTGTTTAGTCCTGTTTACAGCCTGTGATATTTAAAAATCTTAATGACAGTATGAATAGTGATGGTTCTGACCATATTGTTATGATTATACTGATGTTAATGCTTACACTGAAATCCTCATTAATAGTTTTACTGAGAATATTGACGAATAAAACTAAATACTTACAGTTATTCTACAACTAATGATGATCATAAATATTTGTGATACCAGTAGGTCTGTCACTCACTATTTTTTTCTAATGGTTTTGTACTTTACATAAATGCAAATCATTTTCTCACCAAAAAATGTGAAACAAATTGATGTAAATTCGTAAGTGACACAGTTTTATTTGAAACGTTCATGTGTTCTGATTAATATAGTTGAAGAGAAGCTTACACCTAGAAATCATCAGATGATCCATATAAAGATTACGTAGTCTCTTTCATAACATAAAAGTATTTTGCAAACACAAAATATTCTGGAAACGTTGTTTAACAAACTGTCCACATCGATGATGTGAAACGTATGTTGGAATAGATTTTGTCTACTAATTTCTCAAAAAAATTTCAGTCTGATTTATCCTAATCGTTAAACATTACAGATAAATTCACATAAGTCTTACATATTACCATAACTTTACTGAAATGAAAGGTAATTTGGAAATGGTTATAATGATACACTAATCACTGCAAGACTATACGAACCTCTACATTTCACTTGACCGTAAGTTGAAGTTTTACCGTCTTGAGATCCACTGTCGTTCGTTACATATATCAAGTTACGAAATAAATTACACATACAAAAAATATTCGATTTAAGTAGAAACAAAGATGGTCCTATAGGGTGTAGTTACTGCCTTGACACCTTGGTCGAGTTTATGTCGTGACAACCTGTCAACATATATAAGCAGAAATGGTTGTTCATTGAAGATTTCCCGTCACAGAAAAACCAGTTAAAGAGAGAAAAGCTAAATCTGAATGAAAACGTCTTAACTTCGATGGTAAAGTTGTAGCGTTAGTATCATGAGGACATAGGGATGTTAGGTAGTCATGACTAGATCATGATTTAATAGCAGAGGACTAAGAAAATAAAATAAATTTTAGTTTCCACTTGATTTTTGGTGACAGCATTTAGGCTTAAAATATATGAAGCAAATATAACGAAAGTCATCATTCACATTCAATTTACAAATTACCTAGAAATATTAAGCTAAAGTGGATCATTTCAAGTACTGGGGGTATACAGTCAACTTGAATGTATTTAGAGATTATACATACATTTTTAGTTGCCATGTCTATCGCCTTAGAAAAATTGTATAATAAAAAGGACTAGATTGATTAACATTCAACGATAAATTATCTCTGCAATAGCAAGGAAAATGTTGCTATCATTATGTGTCTAAATTTAATCGTTAACTAAAAGAGAACACTAAAGTTTGTGAAGTGTCTGATTTTTGTAATTATTCACCACGAACTTACGTAACACTTATTAAGATACTATCTTAGCTTAAATCTCTATTTTTGAGATCGGTGCGACGAAATCTGTCTAGTTAAATAAATCAAAAGGATCAGTCATAAAACATCCTTGATGAGGTAAAATGCTTAGGATTCGAACATTGGAAAACCAAATTAGTGTATAAAATCTATGGTAATGATTTCCACTCATTACATGGATAGTTTCTATCCATTTTTTTTTAATCTGTTTATCTATATTCACTAAATCTGTTCATTTACATCTCTGTGCATTACATGAATCAAAAATCAGTTACTCTATGAAACGAGGGTATTATATTCAATTGGTTAACCATTTTCGGATGAATCTTAAAACTTCAATATCAATACTAGAAGCAAAAAAAGAAAAAAATGTTTGTAACTAACCAAAACTCGATGATCTATTGTAATATGAAAATTTTTATTATAAAAAATATAAATATACATCAGTTTCATCTTTCTTTTTGTTACTATCTTTATAATTAAAAAATAATTTATTTATACATAATCTGTAAAAATGAATCAATGGAGTTCGATACATAAAATAAAGAAAAAAATGAACATTTTCATTACCTATGACTATAAGCTGAATAAATTATCATTAAGATAATAATGAATGAGAGGGGGGGGATTTGTACGTGTTTATTTAAGTGTTCAATGAACAAAATGCATATTTTCTTAAATCCTTGTAAACTTTTATCCCAATATTTTTCTTCTTTTAATGAAATTATGTAATAATGAATAGTTACGATATAATTTTATCTTGTATGTACAATTCTTGCACCAAATTCTTCATATTCTTTCTTTTGTATATATATTTCTTTAAATGAACTTAATGAGGCTAAAATGGAACCACCAATCCATACAGCATATTTTTGATCATTTTGTTTTCTATGTACAAATATTCTTTGATTTACTGGTGAATTCAACACGTTCAATTCATTTTCTAAACGTTGTGAAAATCCAGGAAATAATGTACTACCACCACTTAATACAATGTTTGAATATAATGTTGGATGTAAATCAGCTGAACATTTTTGAATAGATTCATTAACAATATTTTGTAGTCCAGTTGTACCACTTAAACCTGCTTGTCTTGGATAAAATAATAATTCAGGTGCCATAAATCTTTCCTTAGTCAAACTTATAATATGACCATCTGGTGTTTGATGTACATTTTGTGCATTTGAAGTGGAATTGATTTGTTTTCTTTCATCATCTGGATTCAATGAAATAAAACAAAATTTTTCTTTTAAAAGCCGTGCAAAATCACGTGAGATAGATGTGGCTGCAACAGGATGTTCTTTCGCTAGCATATATCGAAATAATTCAGTTATATGAGATCCACCGAGATTTTGACGCCTTAAAGCATTCGGTATAAAAATTGTATTATTGACCGGTGTAATATTAGACATTTCTGTACCAACATCAACAACCAAACCGGATGTTAACCCATACGCGTACAGGGCAAGTGCAGATTGATCTGTGAAGAATAAACCAGGCATATGAAATTTCTCAAAAACCATTTCTGCTAATTTTTCTCTGTTAAATTTAGGCAATAAAGGATATTCACTTATAAGAACTGGATGGTTTTCCGGATTTGTACGTAGTTCTTTCATAAACATATAATACCAAACTAATGATAACCCGTCAATATCCGTTACAATTCCATTAGCAATAGGGCAATTAAGAATCAGTTCATTTCGAAGTACATTTGCATGTTCACCAACAAACCAGTCTGTATATTTCGAACATTTTGTTGGTCTACCTATTAACATTGGAATAAGAATTCTTGGTCCACCATCTCCAGCATAACCAGCTTTTAAATGTCCAGCTCCATTATCCACAACTATTGGCCAATCTTCTATTAATGCCATGTCTTTTATCTAAATAATTAATAGTAACAAACAATTTGATTACTTCACTGTAATTTATGAAAATTAAATAAAATCAAATAAGATTTACCAAGTAACTGTAATATAATAGCTAATCAACAACTTATCATAATAATAATCATTTTATTCATAATTAATTTTCACTTCAATATAACCTTGAATAAGCTTAACATGTGATCAATATTATTTACTCATTCATAGCTTATGATTGGCTATTTCATTTTACCTGATGGCAACACTTTCAAATGTGAAATAAATATTGAACTCAAGTTTGTTTTGTGTTTTTGTTTTTGCAATTTTTTTAAAAAAAATTTATTTATCTGGTAAAATTGAAATCTACTTATCACTGGATGGATACACAAGTATCATTTTCAATTTAGTTTCTATATTCTATCTATCTAAACATTTATGAGTAATCAATCGTTTTTTCAACACTTTTTATCATTCGATTAAAGCATACATATTACTATTATTATTATTGTTATTACTCAAGGTTACATAAATATAGTAATAATAAAGTGAGTGGATACTTAATTTCATAATCAAAAATATAAAAATAAACGAATAGTAAGTAAATCAATAATTGATCTGATCACTACAACCACTACACTTTAGAAGGTTACAAAATTCTTAATTACTTCTTCAAGTATTTTCTCCTAATTTAACTATGAAAATAATTTGAAATAATAATGTTAATGATGATGAATGTACATAGTAATAAAGTATTGGTATGCAATGTGATACAATCATAAATAATATGATTGACAACTAACAAGCCTTTAAATTCATACAATAGACAAAATACTTATGATATTTACACAATGAATTATTGTTTCATTCAAAAAGAATCACATTCTAAGGGGTTGTAATATTGATTATATTGTATATTATCTATGTTCAAATTACTCACTATGTGTGTGTATATATTATATTGGTTGTTCTGTTATGTTGACATTGTTGGAAATACAAAGATAAGAATCAACATATATGAATTGTGTCATTTAATCACACGTACATTCAAATATATACACACAAAACAAAATCTATTAAGAATGATCGGTAAATTAGAAATGCTTCATTTTATAATTTGCTGAAATATTATAATAAATAATGTTCACTAAACAATAAATTTAAACAGAAAAAATAAATACCTAGACAAGGCAGTATACATATTTCCTTAGCTTTAACCCTATATAGTACGAAAGAAACCTGATCAAAACTCTGAGTTACCGAATACGTACTATATGTTCTACGGATATAGTGGAAGAAGAATTGAATGCCTTGACTAATACTCTTAAGGAAAACAGATACCCTGGAAAGTTCGTAAACAAATATATGATCAAGAAGGCTAGAATAGACGAAATACAAACAGTGAATAAGAAATCCCTGTTCATGAAGGGATGTTGCTAGCGAAATATCAATTTAGAGATTACGCAGAACAATCCAAAAATTATTCGACGGCTGAGTACTACGATTAGTGTTTAGTACTCACCCAAGGATTGGCAAAGCAAGGACAGCATTCCTACAGTTAAAGAACATATGAAACTCAAAACAACTTTCAACCAATATCAAAGTGAGAATCTTCAATACCAACGTCAAGGCAGTTCTACTGTATGGAGCTGAAACTTGGAGAACTACAACCACCACCATCAAGAAGGTACAAGTATTTATAAATAGTTGTCTACGCAAGATACTCAACATCCATTGGCCGGATACCATCAGCAATAGCCTTCGGTGGGAGAGAACAAACCAACTTCCAGCTGAAGAAGAAATTAGGAAAAGACGATGCAAATGGATAGGACATACATTACGCAAATCTTCAAACTGCATCACGAGGCAAGCGCTAACTTGGAATCCTGAAGGGAAGCGAAAAAGAGGAAGGCCAAAGAACACATTGCGTCGGATAATAGAAGCAGATATGAAAACGATGAATTACAACTGGATGGAGCTAGAAAGGATTGCCCAGGACAGGGTTGGATGGAGAATGCTGGTGAGCGGCCTATGCTCCTTCACGAGGAGTAACAGGCGTAAGTAAGTAAGTAAGTACTCACCCAATGGTGACACCGAGGCTAAAACATGAATTAGCTAGGATGACTAACTCATTTTGTATTTATCAGTTCAACTGCTCTTGAGCAACAACTTATATTGGTCGAAGTTCTAAGGATTTACATTTTCGTGCTCACGAACACCTCCTAAAGTGACTAAACAATGATTTATTGAAGAAAATGAACAGTTCGATATTGGCCTATTTAGTGCAAGCTTGTCATAGTGCCAGTATACACCAATCCTTTTCAATTACTTATCGGATCAGTAAATGTTTCCAAAGCTTGTCAGACTTAAAGTCCATCAAACGGCTGGAGCAGTAGAGATTTGGTTGAATAAACCGCAGCTATACGTACAAAAGAAATATCTTCAATCGCTTTTCCTCCCCTGGCCAAACTCAAGATCAACTGCATCACGAGGCAAGCCCTAATTCGAAATCATGAAGGGAAACGGAAAAGAAGGCCAAAGAATAAACTGAGTCGGGAATCGAAAGCAGATATGAAAAGAATGAATAGCAACTGGAAAGAACTGGAAAGGATTGCCCAGGACAGGGTAGGATGGAGAGTGCTGGTGGGTGGCCTATGCTCATCGAAAAGGGGTCACACGCGTAAGTAAGTCAATATATCGAGTCATTTAATTTGGTTGTTAACCTGATTATGGTTATTCAAACAACACTAGCCAATGACACTACTGGTTATAACTTGGTTATCTATTCGTGTAAGCACCGTTATTCATTTTGATGGAGTGTTGTTCTTTGAGCTGGATGGTTTCGTCGTGGGGCTTTCATCGTTCCTCTGAACGACATCATCAGTACAATATTAACAATTGTCCAATAAAAAACATGTTTATATCAAAGTATTTGAATGTGTGTATTGTCACTCATAGTTTTGTAGTGTCATCATAACCTAACAAACATAATCATAATATTTATTGAAAATAGATCGTTGATTAGTTATATTTAAGATATGGAAAAATACTTTTGATAGAAATCCCAAAATAATAACGGGATTGCTAAATAAACTTCAAATGTCGTTGATATGTATACATTTGTGTACCCTGTATAATCTTAGGTTGTATAAAATAATCATTAGCCAGTGTAGCAGCAGTCTCTGCATCAGTAGGCATCAGCATACACAAAGGGAAAACCAAAGTCCTCAAATTCAAAGCGGAAAACAACAATCCAGCCACTCTTGATGGCGAAACTCTGGAAAATGTAGAGTCCTTCACATACCTAGGAAGCATCATCGATGAACAAGGAGGTTCAGATGCAGACGTAAAGGCAAGGATTGGCAAAGCAAGGGTCGCATTCCTACAGTTAAAGAACATATGAAACTCAAAACAACTTTCAACCAATATCAAAGTGAGAATCTTCAATACCAACGTCAAGGCAGTTCTACTGTATGGATCTGAAACTTGAAGAACTACAACCACCACCATCAAGAAGGTACAAGTATTTATAAATAGCTGTCTACGCAAGATACTCAACATCCATTGGCCGGATACCATCAGCAATAGCCTTCGGTGGGAGAGAACAAACCAACTTCCAGCTGAAGAAGAAATTAGGAAAAGACGATGCAAATGGATAGGACATACATTACGCAAATCTTCAAACTGCATCACGAGGCAAGCGCTAACTTGGAATCCTGAAGGGAAGCGAAAAAGAGGAAGGCCAAAGAACACATTGCGTCGGATAATAGAAGCAGATATGAAAACGATGAATTACAACTGGATGGAGCTAGAAAGGATTACTCAGGACAGGGTTGAATGGAGAATGCTGGTGAGCGGCCTATGCTCCTTCACGAGGAGTAACAGGCGTTAGTAAGTAAGTAATAAAATAATCATTGTATGGTGTAAAAGATTTTCATCGTTCAAATAAAAGATAATAGCTAAATGACATTTTGTTGCCAATCAGCACTTCATAGTTATGATTACATCATATGAAATATCATTTTTAGCACGGCATTTATGTTATAATTTGCCTCGTCCATTTAGTCCAAATAATCAGAATTATAAAAACAATTTAGTTGACTGTCCTGCAAATCAGGCAACTGATATCTTGTGATGGAAAACTAAAATTGTTTATTGAATATCGTTTAGTCCTAAATAATCAACATAGAAATATATAAACTTTTTTTCAAAAATGAACTCTCAATCTGTAGCATTTAAAAAAAAATAAGACCAGATCATCTGTGTTTATAGTGTTACAAAGCAGAAAGATTTGCGGTTGGTCAGTAGTTCTGAATAAAAAGCAATCTAACAATGTTCCAATGTTTACCATTAATTAGTCAACAAATTCGATATCGTTTTCCACCAACTGTTTGTTGAATAGGGTGGAAGAAAGCAAATTCCTCATAGTCACATCTTAAATGTAAGAACAATTCTCTTATCATCAATTATTTACTTTACCTATAGGTCATAAATTCAAAGAAATTCTAAATGTTTCTGAATCAATAAATGATGAATAGAACAAAGAAGTTTCTTTTTAATATATTGATATAGTACTAATTGGGTAGTGGTGTAACATAACAGTTATAGGATATCAAAATGATTATTAAACATAATACTGAATTACTAACTTAGTAAATCGAAAAAGGAAGAGTGTGACAAAAATAAAGTAAATATTTATAAAAGCTGAAACAAACTAGACAACATAATGTTTATTAAGAGAGAATTAATAAAATATTTCATAATAGTTGTGTAACAATCAAGAGACGGATGCTGAAAAATGTAAGAATACAAAGATAGAAGAAAATAGAAAATCGTGTGAATATTTTTCAAAAGTATAAGGTTATTCAAAGTTCAGTCGAAATAAACCCCTTTGTCTACTAATAAAGTGTAATACATTTAGAATTATTGTATTTACAGGCTGACTTCAGCTAGTAGACTGTTGAAAATAATGGAGGAGTAGACGTTAGTAGTTTCTAGTCTTCATAAGAAAGAGAATGACTTTAACTAAGCACAATTCGAAATGACCACGACAGAATTTAACGACTGAGTTTGAATCTAATCCCGTATTTTTAACGTCCGTCTAAGTACATTTTATCCTGTTTTAAAATATCTTAAGAACAGGTAACCCCAATTTTTTCCACAACATTTTGAATTAAAAAATGGCTTAATTTCTTCGATTATATTCAGTAGATGCATCATTTACGGCTTTCAACATTTACTTCTCAATATTAATGAACACTCAGACTCCACGTTAGTAGTCGAAGTAACAAATTTGCTGTAAAAACTTTAACTACTAAAAACATAAAAGTAGCCTAAGTAAGTTGTTAAAAATTTTAAGGATGCGAAAAATATTTGTACTGATAATTATTTATTACGAATAAATCGGAATAAAATCATTAGTATTTTCTGAAAAAATTAGGTCTGCTAAAACAACATCAA